AGAAGAACCCGTCCAGAGGACCTATACTATTTTTTTCCTTTTGATTTTTTACCTGGATTACTGAGATGCGTCAGGACATCATAACAAACATATCGCTGGATGTTCTGTAACCATCACTAACTTTGTTGTGTAGTACTACAGCAGCTCTATAAGCTTTTTTTTTTTTAATAACGTTATTAAAAATAAAAGAATGAAGCAGAGATACTAACTTGTCAAGCAGAAATGGCTAACTCTGGATCCTTCTTCTTCCTGTGAAATCCACCTCGTTTTTTTCTGGGCTCGATCTAATTCTTTCTTTTCAACTTGGATTTCTTCCTGGGTCTTCTTCTGTTTCCCTTTGTTGGTTTCAGAACAGGCTCCAATCGGGGAATTGGAAGTTTTACAGCAATATTTGATCCTGGAAAGGTAGCAGTTAGCTTATCCTCCGTCACTGTAGCTGCTTTTGAAACGAGAACGTGCGCGAGCGAATGCACGCTGCGGGCAGTGACGTGGGGGATGGGCGTCAGAAGCTCGTTCACGAACAAACTTCTGTTTTCATTGGCTGTTAATTTTCGGGTAAGCCTGGATTTTTCTAAAGCCTSTAGTACCACCGGGAAAAGCAAGAGGACTTTTTTTTCCTCCATAGCTTACCTGTCTAATATCAATCTGTCAGGAGATAGTGACAGAGTGAACAAATATGCTAAAAATATACTTTTTAGAAAAGTTACATACTGCACCTTTAAGCCTACTTCACACCCTCTGAACTGCTGCATTCAGCTCAGATTGTCACAGTTTCATGACGAAAATTACGTCACTGTTCTCAGTGTCAAATCAATTCAATTCAGCTTATTTATATAGCGCCAAATCACAACATACGTTGTCTCAGGGCACTGTACATGAAAAAAGAACAATCTAAAGAAGAAGCCAGCAGGTTGTGTTAAATCACTTCATCACAGTCTCCCATCCTGAGCAAACGGTGGAGAGGAAAACTCCCTGCTAATCAGGAAGAAACCTCCAGCAGAACCAGGCTCAGGACACACTTTGTTGTCTCTAAACTGAAGGACAGTAATAGTTGTTAGCTATTTTTTATTTTATTAGTACTTTTCTGTAAGAGCTTGTCCTGTATTTCTCTTTAATGCACCGCACTTTTATACCTTTTCTGTTTCAGTTAGAAAAGATGTGTGATGAGCCAGAATGCTCATTTCAAAATTCTATTTTTCTAATTTAGTTTTACTTCTTTTCTTATATTTCCCTCAAAATGTCCTGTAATGGTTTTGTTTTGGACAGGCATGGATGTGGAAACCAGGCTCGGCTTTGGATGGACTCCTCTGATGTATGCTGTCAGTGTGGCGAACTATGACTTGGCCAAACTGCTTCTAGATAAAGGAGCCAGTGCCAACTTCAGCAAAGGTCAGATTATTCTTATAGGTTCAGAAACTTTGGAAAATGTGGTGTTCAGTTGGTTTTTATTTTCTACAGCATGTATGTCTGTATGTATTTATTTAGAGCAGAATGAGAAACAAATGAAGGTCACTGGTGCTCTGTGTGACCTACAGAGGTCACGCTAGACTTTTTCACTGTTTCATTTTGACGGATGGGGTCAGAAAAATCTTGTCATGATCAAATTTTACCCTTCACTTTCTATTTTAAAATGATTAAACATTCAATAAATTTTTTTCATTCATTTTAATTACCGTATTTTTTGGACTATAAGCCGTGACTTTTTTCCTGAACTTTGAACCATGCGGCTTATAGACCGGTGCGGCTTATACATGGATTTTTTTCTTCAGCCACCAGGGGGCTCTTATGCTCCATTTGCTTCAACCACTGCTTCAAATAAAGAAAGAAAAAAAAAGAAAAAAGCGATCTTCCAGAGCTGACTGTTGTACCAGGAAGCAGCGATTTAAAGATAGTCAATGGCCAAAAACTCATGAAAGGGGATTGTGGTAGAAATAAGACTTTATGTTTAAGCAGGTGATTCATGACATCCTTTAATGACCTAGATTTTCCTGACATGCTGTTCATCT